GCCGCGGCGACGCTGCTCGTGTTGGTGCGCCGGCTCGCGTTGCGCGCGGTCTCCAGCTGCTGCCGCGCCGCCTGGGCGTGCTGCCGTTCCAGCTGCAGCTGCATCTGCAGCTGTTGTAACTGGGAGGCGGAAGGGCCGGAAGAATTAAGCTGTCCTCCTGCAGAACGCCGCACTCCCGACAACTGAGACAAAAGCTCTGCCGATGGAAATGAAGACCGTTACTGTCTACTCACGACGACAGAAAGCGGAATGGTGCATGCCACTCTTACACCCGAGGGCCTGAGCGATGGCGGTGAAGCAGGTTCTCACGGCAGCACGTGGCTTCGGGGGGTCGCAGCAGGTTTTAGAATACCTCCCGGGGGCAGGCGCTTGCACGTATGAGTATTAACCCACATACAATGACTGTTGTTTTAGGCAAAACATAAGATTGTTTAAGTTATTTCCTTAATGAGCTAATTTAGTTATACTTTCTCTACTTTTTAGTAGATCAAAGTCGTTCATCTTCTAGTCCGATGAGACTATAAACCCTCTCAACATGAGCTCCATGAAAGCAAGGAACTTCCCAATTCTTAGGACAGTGTCTGATACATAGAACATTTATTTGGTGCTTGAACAATCAGAAATTAAATCCAAGAGACCTGGATCACGTCTCACCGTGGCCCCTGCCCACCGGCCTCGGCCTGCTCTCGGCTCTGTCACGTGGGAGGGCCAGAGCACCACCGGCCGCGCAGGAAGGCTGCCGGCTCCTCACTATGCAGCCTGTTTAGTGGTCTGTTCTAATCCAGCTCATTAAGAGTGATGTGACCTCTGTCTCCGCCTCTTCGTTTAAGAAGGCGCAATCACTGCCTTCTCTCACTTAGAGGGTCACATGGTGCTGGCAATTGCCTTGGAGGCATTCCCAGGCTGGCAAATGCTCTTCATCATTAAAACTCAGCCCAGAAATTACTTTGACTTTTCGCTTTAGAACCTCACTACCAAAGACAGCAGGTAAATACTGGATTCCCTTTGGATAAAGAAATATTTTTTAAAATCCCAAACTCAAGTTTACTGGGATTATTGCATATCCAAATTCCCAAAGCACGTTTAGAATGAAGATTTTACGTGCATATATCACATTTTAAAGAACATTTATCGAGTTTCCGTCACAGATCTACCCGTCAGTATTTCGGCATGTTCCGTGAGGCGCACCGTGGCTTCCGGCACACAGTCTGCCATGTGCACACACTCAGAACCTGCTTCAGGCCTCCCAGTCTTACTGCCTGTCTGTGCTTGCTGTGTCTGTTAGTCTCAGGCTAGTCATTTTTTAAAAAATTAAATCTATTGAGGTAACACTGATTAATAACATGACATAAATTTCAGGTATACATTATAATTCGGTATCTGTATGTTGTACTGTGTGCTCACCACCCAAAGTCTAGCTTCCTTCCATAACCTACAGTGATTTTTGACATTTTATTTTGACTCAACCCTTGTGTTCTGTGGCTGGCTTCCAGGCTGGCCATGCATTAAACCCTGTGACTTGCTAAAAAACTCCATGTTCAACTGCTGTTTTTAGTAAGACTTTCCCAAGCTATTAAAATATGCACTTTTCGGTATGTTCCATACCAATATAGCTTCCAAATCAAAGAGAAAACAGAGAAATTCCTACTTTACTTTCTTGTATGAGCTTAATTCTTTAGTCTTGTCGATTAGTTTTCTAATCTGTGTATTTGTGGAGGTTGAACTGTGGGATTTTGGTCTTTCAACTGAACTCTCTTAGGATTTTCTTGGGTTTCAATGCAGGCCACATACAGAACACAGAGCCATGTCTTACTATCTTATTCCTCTAACTACTGAAAGAAATGCCAGAATAATATGAATATTATATTGTCTATTTTAAAAATACTTTATATTTATACTAAAATTTTGGGGAATTTTGTGAAGGAATATGAGTGTGATTAGAGATTAGGACCACAAATCCCACCGAAAAATTTTAAAGGGAGCCCCCTCCCCGGCCATTTCCTTTATTAATGTGAAACTAACTCACCAGCTATAGGGTCCATGGCTTCCCTATTGCTTGGAGAATACGAACTCTGAGAAGAAGAAAGTCCACCAGTAGAACTGCTAGTAAAGTGCATGTTTGACCTACGAGCGCGAGGACCTCCTAATCCCCGGCCAGGGTGAAACATTCTACGTACATGTCGAACACCACTCGATTCATCATAACTCCAAAGTTAAGAAAAGAAACCAAGTATTTCACAGACAACAAAAAAAATCACTTGAGCCCTTGTTAGGTAGATGATTTCCTAAATCGTAAGCATTTTAAAACAGCACATTTAATTTAGAGTGTGAAATGTCACAACTATACCTGTAAGGGTTATTAATTCTAAAAAAACCAACAAAAAACTCTCAAATATAAAGCAATGTGAGAGCGTGTGTACACTGTGTGTGTTTTTTTTCAAAGGGAAAAGCTTCCCCAGGGAAGAAGAAATTTCTTCCTGGCTCCAGCTACACCAACCAGCGTAACACTGCCAGGCGAGATGAAAGGCATCACCCGACCACACAAGCCAGCTGACACTCCCTCACCGTGCTCTCAGCACTGAACTTCGGATATGTTCACACTTGAACCACAACTAAGAAGCACCGGTTTTTATATCTGGGGAGTGTGCTAATATATATGCTAACCAAACCTTGGTTACTGTCTGTAATGAGAAAGGAACAGAATGAGTAATTTAAACACAGGACTAAGAGTCCTCTGGGCTACCAGTTTTAAACAAAGTTCTTCTTCAATGCTGCTGCTAAAAAGAAAGGTCTCGGTGCTCGGCAGACCTGGGGAGAAGCCACTCCCTCCTGTCGCACATAGTTACCACAGCACCTGAAGGACCTGGAAAGTTAGTATGCTTCCAGGACAACTGCTATGCCAGCATTTTGTTTCCTAGAGCTTCACAGTAATGCTTATTTGGAATCGAAAAATGTAACAAATACCTTCTGCTACTCTTACATTTTACAGTTTCATCTTCTCTTGGTAACCAGAGACTCATAAAAATCTCACAGAAATGGATGTGGATGATGCAGGACATTCAACCGAATGGACACCAACTTCACTAGACCCCCTCGGACTTGCTGGGAAGCTCAGGGTAACAGCTTGGTCTTACATTTCTTGCCTAGTTTCCTCACGGGGCTGGAGGGAAGCTTGGGTCACGCACAGTCCTGGGTCCTGTTATCAGATTCTTTTACGCAAAATGCAAAGTGACTAAAAGGCCTAAGTATTTTGGGCCCATTTAGGTTTTATTACGCTCTTTTTTTAAAAAAAATCACTGTTCCCTTCATCTTGCTTTCAGGGTCCCTGCACTCGGGAGAGAAGACTGTCCCCTCTGTTCACTGAGCACGGGCTCAGGTCAGGCTGACATTCTAGTATCTCGGGCTGGGCCCATTTTACTTCCCATTGGTTTCCACTTATCTTCCCGTAATTACTCAATCAGTTTCCCTCTCTATAGGTCTGAGGTTGAATTATGATTGCCAAGAGGCATTCAGAAGAGTAAGAGTGAAGCCTGGCAGAGAAAGAAGTTGTGATTAGTGTTCGAATTACTTCCAAATGCAATGAACACAGAAACCTTTACAGAACAGAACTTTAAGTTAATCGGTGATAGTTTTAGAAAAACAATCCATAACCTGAAACCAGAGCATGGAGTCTACAAAATTAATCACTTTGGTGGGCTGGACAACTTCTGGGAGGTCAGGAGAGAGCTGTCAGGCACTGTCATGGGATAGATTTGAAGGGGAAGCAGAAATGAAAGCGGGAAGGGAATTCAGAGCTGGCCTGACCGTGTGCTCTCCTGCTCAGAGACGGGCAGGAAACAGCTTTCTCTGGAGAAGGGGACTCCAAAAGGAGAAGAGCCCAAGTGCATATCTGCCCACCACCCCACCTACTGCAGAAGGAACCAGAGAACAGAGAGGGGATGCAAATAAACCCTCCTTAGAGTTAATCAGATTTTAATTTGGATTAGCATTTTCCTCTTTTGTATGAAAACTGTCTTAAAACATCTGATTGTAATAAACAATGATGAGCAAGTCAACTTTTACCCAATGAACAAGGTTCATATAAAAGTCAGCAAATAAAAATAGAAGAAACTGCATCTCAACACTGAGTCACTTTTAGGAAAACGCCAATTAAACAAAATTAAATAAATTGAAGGTTTTTCTCTTTGAGGATACTGTCCTTAAAAACAATCAAAATGATAAATGTTACAAACAATGTTTCTTTGTTGCATCTGAAAGGATATTAAATCTCTAGGGGCTCTGTGTTCAAGTGTCAGATGAGCTGCAAAGTCGTCCGTGACATGATTGGGATCACCTCCAGGTAATGCTGCACATATAGGACAAATCTGAAATGAAAAGAAAGCGGATTTAATCCATGAACACTGACCAGGCACCTTTCTGTATGAATATTTTACTATAAAGTTTACTGTTACCAAGTTCTCACCAGGCAAAGCCACAGCAGATCTTGGACTAGTGACCACAGGGGAGGCCTGAACAAGAGCTACAGCACATCAACGCTGTCATTCACAGCAAAAGCAGACAAACTCTCAGGGTCAGACACAATAGTTCTAGACAGACAGCTCACACCTGAGCTCTGGTGAAGCCTTCTAACAGCTTGGATGATTCATTTACACGGTCTAGCAAAAACAGTTTCCATAAAAAAAGATTTAAAATGTGCTGTTTAGTGCATACCATACCGAAGTCCAGTCTTGATGGTAACGACTGAGACATAAGCTTCCCCGTAAGCTAGACTTGAGGGTCATCTCCAAATAAGACAGTGAAACTATTATGATGCAACTGTACAAACTTACATACTTTAAATGTGATATGGTAAGACAGACAAAGATCACTGACCATATGCAAATATGCCCTGTAACTTCATGAATGGGACTTCCTGGAGGGAAAGAGGGCGGGTGGGGTGGGAGCCCGTTTTTAGATCCTTATTTCCCAGAGGGATGAGAGGTGGGACAAAAGGTTGGGATCAGAGCAAGGCCAGGGATCAGAAGACCAACCTCCCTGTGGGCCGCAGGGCAAGGCACCGGAGGAAGTAGGAATAAAATGGCATGTAGGGAGGCAGAGAAGGCTTCAGAGGTTGAAATGTGGTTTCTGAAACCGTAGTTTCAACAGAAGCAGTGAAAGGAGGCAGGAGAGGGGAGGGCAGAAAGGAGGAACTCTCAGAGGGAAGGCTTCCTCTTCCAAAGTCCAACTGGGCAGAGGATGATCCCAGAGTGGCAGCTAAGCCCTGAAGTAGGAAGAACTTCAATCGTAAAGAACACAGCCAAGCATTCTGCTGCAAAGGGAGCCCCAGGGAAATTAAGTTCAAATTTTAGGTACGCGCCTCTAGGATAGGTGATGCATCTTGCCAATACATGTGCCATGTGCTTAAGTTCTTTCACTTGGAGAAAATTGGGGCAACTGGTGACCTCATGACCTCTTCCAGCAGTAGGGGAGCAGAGTGGCACTGGAGGTGAGGAGGCAGGGGAAGGTGAGGCTTGGGAGGACAACACTGGGACACAGAGGGAAAAACAAACTACTCTGACTTCTAGAGACTAAGTAAACCCAAACCCATCTTTAAAGACTAGAAGGCACAAGGCCCCTGAGAAAGTGACTCAGCTGTGATCCCAGTTCTCCTTTGTCCAAGCAGCCAGCTGTCCTGATTACCTGCCGTAGGACTGACAAACATCCTCAAGAACACCGAAGGTGGTCATGAGAAATAACGCTGAAGCATGAGTGTCCAAGAAAAGTAGGGAGGTCACAATGGGATGTGCCTATGAGGCAAAAGGCAGTTACACGTTTTTTTCCTCTATCAGAGAGAAAAGCAATTGTGAGTGCTTACAAGTTTACAAAGTATCAACTTCTCTTTACTAGGAATTTAGGTTTTACTACCTGTACCATTCCTGGGCTGTGACACAGAGTGATGCCTGATACACTTCTTTTCCTTCTCACTATGTCTGTCTTGCTTAGCTAGATTGCAACCTCTGAGGAATACAGAAGTGTGGTTTGTTTCTCATTTGGGAACCATGACCAGACTTGCTTAAAGCAAAAAAGACCAATTGGTTTGAAGAAAAAAACCACTGGCTGTTTAAAAATAAACAAGCCAGTTTGGATATTTTTGAGACTCTGTATATTGCAACAATTAACAGGTGCTGGACCATGTATAGTATTTTTATAATATCACAAGACTGCACAGTTTAGATTTTTATCCAGAGAGAAAATGACCACCAAAGGAAAAGGCAGCTTCCTTTTAAGTTATCTCTTTTTAGATTGGCCTTTGGATAAAATCTATGCACAACTTGAATTACACAGGGACAGCTGCAGAAGTTTCAGCACTGTGAGGATGCACGTAAGTGCTCCTGGATGAGAAAACTCTCAAGAATGGGAATGGTAAAGTACAGATACCAAGTGTACTAAGGATTTTCTAGTAAGATCGATCATCTCCTACAAACTAGAAAAGCCTCTGAGATGCGGATGTAACATACAGACAACCAAGACCTTTAACAATGTGTATTAATTTCAGTTCTGTAACTCAAAGGCTCTCAGATTCTAGTGATGTGCTGATGGCAAGATGAAGGCATTCAGAACTGCTTCCTTCAGAGAGAAGTAATAAAAAAACAAGTACTCAAACTTCTACAATAACCAGGGATAAAGAACGACCAGCATAAGGAGTAAGTGGAGCAGGAGGACTGCCTGGCTCGGCAGCTGGCATAGAAAAAGAAAGAGACTAGGTTAGAGCCCAGCGGAAGATGCTGCCCCCCTCGCGCCGGACGAAGTTACCTCAGACGAGGACGCTGAGCTGTGGATGGCACCACGTGCCCGGTCACCTTTCAAGTTTTATACTGCATACTTAGCAAGCTAATTCATGTTTTGGGATAAGAATTTTGGTAACTTAAGGATATACTTTCTGAGAGGTAATGGAGGGAACAAGAGGAAAGAAAACAAGAGCAAAATGAGGCAGGAGAAACGGAGAGGTGGGGGAGGCAGAGGGGACAGACGGAGGGCCACCTTCACATTCAGGAGCACAAAACTGCGTCGTCTTGAGTGTGTCTCATGTCCACATGACGGTAACTAATACCTTGTACAGGACAGCAAATTCTACACAAACGATAAGCTATTGACCCCAAAATTATGAGTTTGTCAACAATATTTATCATACTTCTGCCACAGGACATAGCAACGTCTATCACTCAACAAGAAAATTCCATGTAACACATTAACTTAAAATTGTAACAACTTCTCAACATTAAGGCTTACTGAATTGGCTTAAGTCAGTGTTTCCTAAACTCGACTAAAGATTTTAAAAATACAGTTCCCTAGGCTTCTTCCTGGAAACTGATTCTACGAATTTCGAAATTCTGTATTTTTGACAGGGGCCCTAGTTGTCTTATAACTGAATAAATCAGGCAAATACAAGTTTAAATATACAACGGATCTGAAAAATATTTGCCCTGTTGTATGAAACACCAAATGTTATTGTTACTACCCCTCCCCCCATTTGCAGATGTCCTTGCATGGTCTTTGCTGCAGCTCAGGTCTTCCCCTTCTGCTTCACCTTGCTGCCGAAGGTCAGCACCAGTCCTGCTTTTCACCAGCAACCCTTTGGGAAACTTTACCAATGTACCGAGATACTGTAGTTAGAACAACAGAGTTTCCATTTTTCCACATGGTCCCAGTTTATGATTCAGAGCAAGCAACCAGTCAGTGCAGATTCTTAACACAGGTGGTTACCAATGTCTAAAACAAACCTTCTAAAGTCCACATACAAATGCTACTTAACTTCCAAAGCTTTCCCCCATCACAGGCTATGTCCACACACAAAAATAATCTAAAATCAGTATGTGTGGCTTTTGTTTTTAAACAAAAGTGCCACACATTCATCCCCATATCATTATTAACCAGTCTAAAGCAAGCTGAGATTTTCTCTGGTCTCTTTCTTGAACTCATATCCCCAACACCAGACAGCATTCTCGCTCTACATACTGCATAGAGCTTTAAAAACAGTAGAGGAGCCTGGCAGCCGGCGTGTCTCAGTGGTTGAGCATCGATCTATGATTCAGGAGATTGAGGTTCGATTCCCAGTCAGGGCACATACCTGGGCTGCGGGCTCGATCCCCACTCCGGGCGTGCAGGAGGCAGCCGATCAATGACTCTCATCATTGATGTTTCTCTCTCTCTCCCCCTCTCCCTTCCTCTCTCTGAAATCAATAAAGACATATTTAAAACAAAACAACAACAAAAAACAAAACAACAGAGGAAGAGTCAAGTTCCCTGTGGTGAGTTCTCCTGTTCTTTTCTCCCTTTCTTTTTGGATAGGCTTCATAACATGCTTCTTGCCCATTCACTGCTATAGAAAAGCATTTTTAAAATTGCTTATCTGCTCCGCCCATAACCTGGCTCTAACTGAAGCTAGCCTGCAGCCTTGCATAGACTGCTCTTTCACCGAAATGACCCAGCAGATGCCGAAGAGCCAGGGCGGCTGTTCAGAGTGAGGCTGACTCGCTCTGATGCATCACCCTCTCAGGCCACATGGAACTGCCCTTGAACTCGGGAGCCACGCTTCATGCTGACAGCAAACACGTGAAGTGGAAGAACGGTCTTGGCAACTGGCATTTCTTGACTCGGTTTCCGGAGCACAAACTTGACAAACTTGTTTCTTTCTTTTTTGCGACTAGTTTTAGATCCGTGAGAAACGTCTTCCTTTAGGGGATGTCTGTTCCAACTCAGTGACTTCACTACATCGCCTTACACTGTTACTTTCTGGTGATACCAAGTGTTTGATGCCGCATTTCTCTGGTGGCCATGATCTTGCATCGGGCAGCACCGCTTCTTCACAATGTCTACCTTTCCTCGATCCATGCTTACCCACATGCTCACTAGGATTAGGTTCATCCTGTTTCAAAAGGACCACAGGACCGCCCGAGCCCCTCCCCCCCCCCC